AACTATCTGAAAACAGCCCGGCAAAAGGTTTGAAAAACAGCCTGAAAGCGGCCCAAAAAACAGCCTGGTTTTTGGCCAAATTTTCTAGCTGTTTTCCCCGCACTCTGTGTGTGCTTACTGACAGGGCTCTGCGTGCCACCTCTGGCATGCGTGCCATAAATTTGCCTTCACAGGCATAGGGTAATCCTGCTAGAGCAGGGGGGGGTTGGACTAGAAGACCTCTAAGGTCCCTTCCAACCCTATTCTGATTGGTCGATGGATTTCTTCTCTGCTCAAGACCCCTCGATCCCTCTTGAGCCTTCCCAAATTTTGGAAGGGCAAGAGTTAAGGGAAACAAGAACTATATACAATCTCCGGAGAACAGCCAGGAATGGGTGTGTGTGTGTGTGTGTGTGTGTGAAGCCCAGCTATCATCTGAGCTGGAAAACCCACATTGGTGGGTTGCCTTTTTCTCTCTCCACGGCTCAAACCAATCCTTGTTCGAGGAAGACACCCACCACCGGCATCCCAGAGTAGAAGGCCGGGAAAATGGGGAATTTTCTGGAAAGTCTAACTGGTCTATTACAGAACCCCAAAAAAGCCTGTGAAAAGTGAAGGTGTAGGAAGTTAGCACCCACCCCTCTCCTAGAAAAATGAAATATCCTAGAAAAATATTTAAAAGGCAGAATATTTCTCCGAAGAAGAGTAGAAATGTAGAAGCGGAAGCTCACCACAAAGAGGTAGAAACTCAGCCGCCGCCACCCACCTTTGCTAATGGGCCGTTACTCTGGCCTAGGCCAGTCTATTTGACATAAAGAAGATCTACTCCAGGTAGAGCTATAATTAAGGTGAGCAACCGTCCTCCTTTAGGGAGGACAGTCCTCCTTTTGCAAGTTCCGTCCTCTCTCCAAAAGTTGGGTTCAAAGCCCTTCTGTGGAATTTTCCTGGTTTCAGTTCCCATTCTTAAAAGTTTCTTCACTTTGGGTACTTTAAACTGGGTGGACTTCCATGCCCAGAATTCAGCTTTGCTGGGCTGGGGGATGATGGAATCGAAGCCCACTCATCGTAAAATTGCTCTAACTAACACGATGGCCAGAAGGCAAACAGGATCCAACCAGGTGTGATGACCCA